AGAAACTTGAAAATATTTAAAATTCAATTAAAATATTACGCAACTAGGATGTCGGTAAAAACTATCACTTTCGATCACAAATGCAGCTAGCTTAATGTCCCACCCAGTTTTCAACCAATGTGCGCATTAATATGACATAGTATTACACACTGCATATTCATAGAATGTAGATGTAACATGGCCAGTTATACAATATATTTAGATAGATCTTTCTTTCTTCCACATTAAAGAGCCATATCACCCAAAATTTTTTCGTAGAGTTATTTACTAATTTTACTAGTTGCAGTATATGTAAAGTAATTCTTTCTTACCATTTAATGTTGCCATCTTACCAACTAATTCTTATTGTAAGTAGAACTCCGTTTACCCTCCAATGATCCTTATTAATGAATTATATGTAGTTATTGTATTTATTTATTAAATTTATATCTCTATTTTGCAATGTACATTTCTATGCAATATTTGTATCTAGTCATTTATATATTTTAAATATTTACTTTTATGTAATGTTAATAAATAACTCGATATAATGTTAAAGAATGGTTTAATTTTTTAAGACATCACTTTTGAAGAAGTTTTAGTATGATATCAAAAAATAAGTTTAAATTTCTATAAAATTTATATAACGTTTTAATTCCGATTTTTTTTTACATATAATCATGTTTAGCTTAAATATATGACAATAATACAACTAAATTTCATACATCTAATAACGTTCCCCGAGGTCTTGCTCTCTTTGGATCTGCTTCAGGGGGAGGCATAGCTTTGCGTTTATTCATTCCTTTCCTCTCTAATTGTTTTTCTATTATTCGCGCATTGTTAGCATATGAATCAGCAACCTCTCTCTGTAAATATAAAATACATATTTTGAAGGAAAAAAAAAGTACAAATTCATATATAAGATCTTAAACAAATTTCTTGTACTTAAGTATTAAGTTTATAGTGTAGTATTGCATTTTAATTATGCACAATATTAGAATTTAATATAGCTATTCTTTGTAGCATTTTATAATTTCTTCTATTTCTTTTAATAAGAATTACAAATTTTTTTAACACAGTAGCAGCTTTTGTACATAATAATAATAATATGCTTTATTTTATTTCTTGGGAAACTTAATTAATACATAAAGATTGCAAATATAATATACAAATATATAACTTACTGCTTCAATTTCATCTTCTTCTTCATCAATTGTAGAAACAGTAACAGAACTGAATTTTCCCATATTTTTTGTGTGTTTGGTTACCATTATTTTCTTGGGTTTTTCAATAGCTACTTGATTATATATATCTGTCATTGGACCTTCACCAGAACTTTTAATTACTGCACCTTTTACAATAAATACAATATTTGTTGCTTGATCATGTTTGTAATAAAGAAAGAGACCACATCTGTAAAAGTATACATACAAATTATAATTAATATTTTACATTGCAACTTGCAGAAATGATTTATAGTGTAAATACCAAGAATTGAACTCTTTAATTTTCAGAATTATTTTTAAACATTTAGACAAGAAGTAATAGAAATATGTTTATAAATAAAACAAAGAATGTCATACTTTTTACATTTTTGACGATATTGTTTTTCTATGCCTTCAGAACGTTTTAAATATACAACTTCATCTTGTTCACAAGTCATTTTGTGAGCATGTTTACTTCCATCGATAACTCGCGCACCATCTCTTTTTCTCAGAGGCAATTTTTCTATGGCACAATCTGTAATAATATGTTAGAATATTATTTATGTACTTTTACTCATGATTTTCATGAGAATAAAACAAAAATGTAATTCTAATTGCAATTGAATCTAACCTAAAATCAATGTCATCTGCCCACATAAGCAGTAATAAATATGCAACGGTTTCTCTTCGCTATATTCTTCTTGATCCTTGGTATCGGAACATATTATACTTCTTGAAACTACTTTCGGCATTTTCACTTCAAATTATGCAGTTAAAATACAAACCAATATTTTGATTTCACGATGACATTTTATTCATCTGTGAGTAATCCTGAATGTATCAGAGGATCTCAATTTTGTTTATATACAACGATAAGAGAAATGTTCCTTTGAAGTATGAATATTACTATGAATACTAAAGAATTATGCACTCTTTTATCCTATGCACATATCCTTTAATAGTTATTTAAATATTGTTAAATGAACAATTAACTATTATAGACATTATAAAAACATTACAAAAATCTCTTTTTCGAATAAAATTGTGAACCTTTATAACCTTACACACAATGCTACACGAAACATATTCAAATTTATACGACAACGTGTACCATGAAATACAATTTACATACAAAGAAATGATAAAAACTAATAAAAATACAATTAAAACAATAGCGATGGTAATAGAAAACAGAAGTATTTTATTAAAGTAATTTCAATTTGGCCGAAATCGAAAGATGGCACAAGTTGCGCGTGAACATGGCGCCATCTGACGACGGAAAACGCGTATCACACAGGATGAGCTAAGAGGATTTTCCAGTCCCTCCTGTGGTGGAGAATTTCACTCAGCCGCACTCGGTGTTCAGTCGCGGTACGGTGTTTGACGTGCAGTCGAAGAAGGACAGTTGAAGCGAACACAAGTTGCCAATGATGGGTGGGCAATGAGTCGCGCGACGTTCGTCAGTCGTACGGAAAATGTGAATAGTGTCGAATCGGCGTGATATGGTGCACAATCGAACAGCAAAGAGTAAAAAGGGCAGCAGAAAAAAAGTGCAGTGACTCGACATTTGATTGGTGGTGCACGCAGAGCGGCCCTTCGTGTACATGCACACGTACGTATATGCACACAAGCTCGTACACAAAAGGCACACACGACAACTCTTTCTCGTCGTCTCTCTTTCTCCTCTTCCCCTCTTTCTCTCTGCATTTACGACCGCGCCCCCTTCGGTTCGGTACTCAATGCGTTCTACGCTTTTCCAACTAGTTCAAAATAGATAGTTGAATCGTTCGCGCCGACTTCATCGTTGTCTGGAATTCGATTACTTGCTGCGCCAATCGAATTTACACAGAACCTTCTTCTGTTCTGGTAGAGTAGATGAGGGAGAGAGAAAGGAGAATAGAGACGGACACTCTTGACGTACATGTTATTATGAATTAACATGCAAACGCTATGCGAGACACTGAATTTCTTTGATTCGCCCTTCAGTTACTTACGAAACATTCGATCGGTTTTGGACAGCAGCATTCGCGTAATCGAATGCGGCGTTCTTTGTTTACATCGCGATTGTACAGAACCTAAGAGACGTACTGTAATATGTCAAGGATAACATAACGATTAGGAATGTGTAGCGGTCATAGAAATCTTCGAACGCAGGTGTAGATTTGATCTTTATGCACAGTTTCTTAAGTAAACATACAATAAACAAAGAGAATGAATTGTTATGTTACAGTATAGCTTGTAGATAACAAACATGCAAAAACTTTTTATTTATTGCACACGGTTACTTAAGTAATGGAAGAGGAACGGATGTGTAGCTAATTCTTACGTCGCAAAAATATTCGATGTTTATTTGACGATGTTAAATTTCACACTGCTTAATATTAAAAGGACAGGTTCGTAGAGTTATCACGGTATATACGATTCTACGTAATGAAAATAGGTACGTAATTATAAACGTCTTAGATTACGATAAATATCGGAATGCGTCGGAAATCATGTAATCACTTATCTGTCAGCTGACGACAAGTCAGCCATGTCGTCGTTGGACGCGATCATTTCCGTATGTTTCTCTCATGAAAGTTTCGAATATTCTTCCTTGCAACCTTTTTGCAACACCGAACACCGATTATTGAGATCGAATTTTGCAGATTGGGATCGAATTGTGAGTAAAATTCGATATATTTAACAATTATTATTTATTACTTTTCTTAAAACATCCTATGAAAACTTTTAACGTTACCCCAAGAAAATTGTACTTACTGTCATACATATGATTTTGATCATTTTTCTTACGGGGAACGCATTATTTTTATATGTAATTATTTTTCGACGTATTTGAAATTCTTACATGATACTTTAAGTAAATAATTCTTTAAATCCGATTCTACCTTACATAACGACCGATATTCATGACTTAAAACAGGCTTCTATGTCAGTTGAGATGTTCTTCTGCTTAAGCTAATTCAATTCGAGTAATATCAGGATTTCCGTAATGACTATATTATGATCGACGTCGTCAATACCATAGACTATAATTATATTCGCGGAAGGTAGACTCGGGGCAAAACTGTATTTATTTTTCCATGGAACAAAGTGCATTCACACGTCCTGCGCACAATGATCGAGACACTCGATCTATCGGTATTGACTGTCTTCGAAGGACAGCCGCGAGAGTGAAAGAACTTCTGTTTAGCAACTAAACAAGCCTCGGTTTTATCTTTCATCCCATGGCGGTATACATGGTGCGCTTCATATTTCTCTTAAAACTGCAATTGCAACTGTTTGTTAATAGTTACGCGTATTACACAATCGTAACATTTTTCAAATATTCTTTCATACCACAAACTTTATTAAGGCGCCAACTCATGTCATGAACTATATTTCACTAGATAGATAGCTAAAAAGAAAGTCGCAACAAATCCACGAAATAAGATGGATCGAAAAAAATTTCCTAGATTCAAATACGTATTACCATAAATAATGCACTACAAAATGATAAATTCATCTGTTATCGTTATTTAAAGTTATTAGAATCAATGAAATGGCGCCTGTTTCCCTTTTAATAGAAAATTTACCCATAATCGCATTAACTATCGCGAAAAATGTTAACGTAGGCTGTGCAAACGAGGATACATACAGTCTGTGCGTTCTCATGCGACATTGTCGTTCGTGCAAATAATTTTTATCGTTGTATAACGTAGGTAGTCTAAGCAGTGGCGTGTGTGGGCCGCGCGTACCGCTTTGTCGCAAATAAAAGCCCGGCCTTTGTCCTTTTTCGCGTGGTCGACAAAATTCAAGCCTCGTTCTCCACGCGCGTAAACCGCGCTTGGATTCGCTCCTCTTTTGGGAATAGACAGGTAACCTGCGATCTTTTTGATTAGAATATTTCGTCGATAATTCTGTGATTCATCGAATAAACCAATTATACGATCTGTACACAATTTATTTTTACGATATGACGGTTCATTTTCATTAGAGAAGTACTATCATTCATATACTAATAATAGTCGTAGAAGTATTTGCGAGAGCAATAATAATTTATAGAAGCTTTATATTTTATAGAATGTCATTAAGGTTATGTCAGTCTATTTATAGTTGGAATTAATATTAATGAAAGGAGTATAGAAAGAAATTACACATGGTGTTTTTGTTAACTTTAAGATGTAAAATGTATTAACTTTTTTAATATGTGAGAAAATTTTATATCGAAATTTATATTATCGTATTATTTCTTCTTTCTCCTGAGAATAAAGGAAGAGATGTTTCAAGTGATGAAATTATGTTAGATATTTAGCTGATTATAGAAAAAACAATGGAATATTGAATAATTTCTGTTGAACGATAAAGTTTCTGGAGTGAATAGTTGTGTAATTGTTTCAAGTAGTCTAACGCCCACTCTAGGGAATGAACCTTATCAAAATTATCGCGGGAAACTAGATCGTCTGATCGTATAATAGTAGTTCTGCAGCATTTTTGCTCGAAGAAAGAACTGTCCGTGTTATGAATAAGTACATTGTTAATATTGCAGATAAATTCTTAGGGGAAAGTTTAAAGCTGCGATAAATTTTTTAAAGATTCATCATTCAGAAAATTTTAAGGTTAACCTTCGTCGAATAAAATTTCGCTCGCGAAATTTTTTTTCGTTCAAGACGATACCCGAGTGAAAGGATAACACTGATTTATCTCGAATTTTATTTTTATACCGATAATTAGGGGTGTGGAATATAATCGAGGAAGTTTTTCAAACTTTCCGATAATGGATCGAAACACACCGTAACGCTTTACTCGTGTAAAAGTGAAAGTAATAATTATGGGCTTAAATCGTCGCGGTTGAAGATTGCATACTTTTACCAGCAATGATTTCGGTGTGATCTCACATTTTAATTTCTCAATTTTAATCGCTAAACGATCCGTAAATCCACTTGCACAATTTACAATTTATGATAATTGTACAATTAACATTATACAAAATAGACTAGACTGGTTTTAATCGAAGCCAAAGTAACTTTCACCCTCCTTCGAACATCATTCAAAATTGTATTTAAATTTATTCCAAAAATTTCTCTAATTTATCGTTAAACGAAATATCTATATTTATTGAAAAAAATATCACCACTATAAGATAGCATATAACTAAAAAAAAAGTTGCCAATCTTCTTAAGTCAAACTTTCATACTCCTCGTCACCTTTCAAAAATTAATCACTCGACGCAAGAAACTTCAGAAACTTCGAGAAACTTAAGCGGTTCTTTAGCGCCATTACCTCCGTCCAACTTCTAAAACTAAGAAGAAAAATGTTTTCTCATCGAATATCGACAGCTCGGTCTATAGATGACGAGAAGCTGCAGCAACGTGTGCGATCAATTATCATCGAATCGCGCTCGTAACGCGAGTAGCTATTTCTCAGCAGGGGTTTACTCATTGTTTGTTCTCTCTAACAGTTACCGCAAACGATATGTATAGTTTATTAAACTATCGATGATGCAGTTTGAATATCGAATTGTCCTTCGATCGGATGATTCATCGTCACCGATTAGACTACTTTTAAATAACGATCGCGAATGCAGTCTCGTGCCTCTCGATAAACAGATAAGTGGAACCGTAATATCTGATTAAATAATCCACTTTTCCTCTCCAATTGCAACCTGACACGGAAATAGATACAAGAGAGAAAAAGACAAAGAACTTTGTTTATAGATCAGAGTAGAATTACTTCTTTTTTGTATATATAGTGATTTAAGTTGTATCAACTG